TAAGGAAACACAAGCTTTAAATGACACACTAAACAAGATGGACTTAATTGATATTTATAGGACATTCCATCCAAAAACAACAGAATATACTTTCTTCTCAAGTGCTAATGGAACATTCTCCAGGATAGACTGTATCTTGGGTCACAAATCAAGCCTTGGTAAATTTAAGAAAATTGAAATTGTATCAAGTATCTTTTCTGACCACAACGCTATGAGACTAGATATTAATTACAGGAAAAAAACTGTAAAAAATACAAACACACGGAGGCTAAACAACACGCTACTAAATAACCAAGAGACAACTGAAGAAATCAAAGAGGCAATCAAAAAATACCTAGAAACAAATGACAATGAAAACATGAGGATGCAAAACCTATGGGATGCAGCAAAAGTGGTTCTAAGAGGGAACTTTATAGCAATACAATCCTATCTCAAGAAACAAGAAAAATCTCAAATAAACAACCTAACCTTACACCTAAAGCAATTAGAGAAAGAAGAACAAAAAAACCCCAAAATTAGCAGAGGAAAGAAATCATAAAGATCAGATGAGAAATAAATGAAAAAGAAATGAAGGAAACAACAGCAAAGATCTATAAAACTAAAAGTCCGTTCTTTGAGAAGTAAACAAAATTGATAAACCATTAGCCAGACTCATCAAGAAAAAAAGGGAGAAGACTCAAATCAATAGAATTAGAAATGAAAAAGGAGAAGTAACAACTGACACTGCAGAAATGCAAAGGATCGTGAGAGATTACTACAAGCAAGTATATACCAATAAAATAGACAACCTGGAAGAAATGGACAAATCCTTAGAAAAGTACAACCTTCCGAGACCAAACCAGTAAGAAATCGAAAATATAAACAGACCAATCACAAGCACTGAAATTGAAACTGTGATTACAAATCTTCCAACAAACAAAAGCCCAGGACCAGATGGCTTCACATGCAAATTCTATCAAACATTTAGAGAAGAGCTAACACCTATCCATCTCAAACTCTTCCAAAATATAGCAGAGGGAGAACACTCCCAACTCATTCTATGAAGCCACCATCACCCTGATAGCAAAACCAGACAAAGATGTCACAAAAAAAAAACTACAGGCTGATATCACTGGTGAACATAGATGCAAAAATCTTCAACAAAATACTAGCAAACAGAATCCAGTAGCACATTAAATGGATCGTACACCATGATCAAGTGGGGTTTATCCCAGGAATGCAAGGATTCTTCAGTATATGCAAATCAATCAATGTGATACACCATATTAACAAACTGAAAGATAAAAATCATATGATCACCTCAATAGATGCAGAAAAAGCTTTCGACAAAATTCAACACGCATTTATGATGAAAACTCTCCAGAAAGTAGGCATAGAGGAACCTACCTCAACATAATAAAGGCCATATATGACAAACCCACAGCCAACATCATTCTCAATGGTGATAAACTGAAACCATTTCCTCTAAGATCAGGAACAAGACAAGGTTGCCCACTCTCACCACTGTTATTCAACATAGTTTTGGAAGTTTTAGCCACAGCAATCAGAAAAGAAAAAGAAATAAAAGGAATCTAAATCGGAAAAGAAGTAAAACTGTCACTGTTTGCAGATGACGTGATACTATACATAAAGAATCCTAAAGATGCTACCAGAAAGCTACTAGAGCTAATCAATGAATTTGGTAGAGTAGCAGGATACAAAATTAATGTACAGAAATCTCTTGCATTCCTAGACACTAATGATGAAAAATCTGAAAGAGAAATTAAGGAAGCACTCCCATTTACCTTTGCAACTAAAAGAATAAAATACCTAGGAATAAACCTACAGAGACAAAAAGCCTGTATGCAGAAAACTATAAGACACTGATGAAAGAAATTAAAGATGATACAAAAAGATGGAGAGATATACTATGTTCTTGGATTGGAAGAATCAACATTGTGAAAATGACTATACTACCCAAGCAATCTACAGATTCAATGCAATCCCTATCAAACTACCAATGGCATTTTTCACAGAAGTAGAACAAAAATTTTCACCATTTGTATGGAAACAGAAAAGACCCTGAATAGCCAAAGCAATCTTGAGAAAGAAAAACGGAGCTGGAGGAATCAGGCTCCCTCACTTCAGACTATACTACAAAGCTACCATAATCAAAACAGTATGGTACTGGCACAAAAACAGAAAAATAGATCAGTGGAACAGGATAGAAAACCCAGAGCTAAACCCATGAACATAGGTCACCTTATCTTTGATCAAAGAGGCAAGCGTGTACAATGGAGAAAAGACAGCCTCTTCAATAAGTGGTGCTGAGAAAACTGGACAGCTATATGTAAAAGAATGAAATTAGAACACTTCCTAACACCACACACAAAAATAAACTCAAAATGGATTACAGACCTAAATGTAAGGCCAGACACTATAAAACTATTAGTGGAAAACATAGGCAGAACACTCTTTGACATAAATCACAGCAAGATCTTTTTTGACCCACCTCCTAGAGAAATGGAAGTAAAAACAAAAATAAGCAAATGGGACCTAAAGAAACTTAAAACCTTTTACATAACAAAGGAAACCATAAACACGATGAAAAGACAACCCTAAGAATGGGAGAAAATATTTGCAGACGAAGCAACTGACAAAGGATTAATCTCCAAAATATACAAGCAGCTCATGCAGCTCAATATCAAGAAAACAAACAACCCAATCCAGAAATGGGCAGAAGACGTAAATAGACATTTCTCCAAAGAAGATATAGATTGCGAACAAACACATGAAAGGATGCTCAACATCACTAATCATTAGAGAAATGCAAATGAAAACCACAATGAGGTATCACCTTACACCGGTCAGAATGGCCATCACCAAAAAATCTACAATTAATGCGGAGAGGGTGTGGAGAAAAGGGAAACCTCTTGCACTGTTGGCGGGAATGTAAACTGATACAGCCACTATGGAGAACATATGGAGAGTCCTTAAAAAACTAAAACTAGAACTACCATATGACCCAGCAAGCCCACTACTGAGCATATTCCGTGAGAAAACTATAATTCAAAGAGTCATGTACCACAATGTTCATTGCAGCACTATTTACAATAGCCAGGACATGGAAACAACCTAAGATGTGGCACATATATACAGTGGAATATTATTCAGCCATAAAAAGAAACAAAATTGAGTCACTTGTAGGAAGGTGAATGGACCTAGTCAGAGTGAAGTAAGTCAGAAAGAGAAAAACAAATACCGTATGCTAACACATATATATGGAATCTAAAAAAAAGGTTCTCATGAACCTAGGGGCAGAACAGGAAAAAAGATGCAAACGTAGAGAATGGAGTTGAGGACACAGGGAGTGGGAAGGGTAAGCTGGGACAAAGTAGTGAGAGAGTAGTGTTGATATATATACACTGCCAAATGTAAAACAGCTAGTGCGAAGCAGCCACATAGCACAGGGAGATCTGCTCGGTGCTTTGTGACCACCTAGAGGGGTGGGATAGGGAGGGTGGGAGGGAGACGCAAGGGGGAAGGTATATGGGGATATATGTATGTATATGGCTGATTCACGTTGTTATACAGTAGAAACTAGCATAACATTGTGAAGCAATTATACTCCAATAATGATGTTTAAAAAAAAATGAAAGAATTGACACTATATATTAGAAGATAAAATCAATAAAAGCAAAAAACTGGGGTGACTACTAAGTGGACAGAAAAAAAAAAAAAGAAAAAAAGATACAACGTGAAAGTAAGACCAGGTATGTCTAGCCTAAACGCAATGCATAGATTGTCTCACTGTGTGTATACATATGGTGTGTGTCTTTGTGTATGAAATACACACTATGGGTGCCTGGATTAATAACACGAGCCCTTTAGTTCCAATACCTTCCTCTGTAAAATAGGGAAAATACCTCCCCAGGATTACTGGATAGGTATTAGTTATTAAAACACTTTGTAAAGAAAGTATCAATGCAAATTAAAAGTGTTAAGCATTCTCATTCATTTTCTGTGCTTCTAATAATAAAGGCTCATATAAATGACAAATTCAAAAAAGAAAAAGTAGCAGCCTTTTCTGGCTGATAGTTTAGAAATGATTTAAAAGAACCTTTTGCCATTCACTAGTATCAGTTCACAGAGCTCTGGAGAAGAAAGTAATCTTTGAGAAGAAGACTCATCTTTTTAGCAATATATAAACCCTCTCAATTTCTCCAAAGCTAATATATAATAAACGTAAAGGAAAATAATTATCTCTCCTTCATCCTTTAAAATTTAAAACTTAACGTGTTAACCACATTTTCAATAAAATTCTCATTCCATACTAGAAATGGTAGTTCCTTAATCCCAAGTTTTAAATACTTGCTTCTTTTCTGCCCATAAAACAGATATTATGTTTATATGTTATCAGTAACACAGAGGATGTCTTGGTGTAGAATATTTATTTATTTATTCCATGAAACACTTAAAGTTTAGGTCAGTGGGAAATAATTTTAATCAAAGAATTGTACATTTTCTTCCCACATATCTTGCTTTGTATTAGGAAATGACATTGTGACCCATTTCACTACAATATTACAAAATATTTACAAGAAAGCATTAAAAATAACTCAAACATGAAAGGCAAGATGGGGTGAAATAAACTGGTTTTTTAGAAATCTCTACTCCAGTGCCCACAGCACACAAGAAGAGAATCAAAACAAATAAGTAACAAAGATCCCCTTGATGACAAGTTTCCAAGGAACTGGAGTGGGGGAAGAAGTGGGATGAAAATGGTGGTATGAAAGGGGATGGATGTTAGCAGCACTGCTTCAATAACCAATCTATTTTGAATGAAATACCCTCTTTTATATACAGTAAATTCTGAACAAGGCTAAACTTTAGGATATTCCTTGAACTGAAATTAAAAATACCCTGACAGTGAAAGTGGCTCTTTCACCTAAGTTGAATAAGGGCCTCTCTCTCCATGAACCACTGATGTGAACAGAAGCCTGTTCTAGCATCAAAAGCTGTCACAGCAGCCCTTCCATCTCTTTCATGAACGCTTCATAAACATCATCCTTAGTTTGTACTGAGACGGGAACAGATGGACCGGATTTGGGAGCTGCTTTGGCAAGAGGCACAGCAGAATCATCCTCTGACTTTCTCTGGGGAGTAGCAGTAGCCCCTTTATTCTCCCGACGTACCCTCAGTGCGGTGGGCACAAATCGAGTAATCTCTGCCTTGGGATTAGTGATCTGTGGCTTGGCACTGATGGTTGCTGTGGCTTTCTTCTCAATGGTGGCTGCGCTTGTATCATCCGCCTTGGGTCGCTGAATCAAGTTGGGTGGAGCACTTAAAACCCCCGGGTTCGGCAAAGGAGCTGGTGGGAAAAGCCCAGGTGGGGCAGGTCCAAGTGGAGGCACCAAAGGTGGACGCATCATGCCAGGACGAGGTGGAGGGATACCTAAATGAAGGAGAAAACAGGAAGATGAATAGCACAAGAATAAAATTTAACTACTATTAAGGATGTTAAAAACATAGGTTGACAATTTTTTTAAATGGACAATTTATAGAAAATAAATCATGTTGTTTGCTATCTGAAACTCAGGAATATATTCTGATAGTAAGGAATATCTTTTATAAAACAGTATTCACCTTCTGTTTGTATCCCTATACTTATGTTTCTTCCTCTCTCAATAATGTACTCCTTTAAACTTATAAAGTAAAATTAACAATATCAACTGGTTTCAAATATGGTCTCAAACTGTCAAATCTGAAATTTGACAGCCCAAGATTCTATTCTACCTGTAGATCGCAGATGCTATCAGAACGAAGGTTGGGGATTTGATTCCCATCCGTTATTTACTGATTTGCACAACACTCCTCCCTCTCAAAAGGTAACTCAATGGATAGGAAATATAATTTTAACCCTGGGATGAGAAAATCTAATCACAAAATGTCACCATTACTGGAAAAGAATTCACGTCTTATTGTTGGCTCAGACATACCATCATCATTTACCAGGAAGTGCAGATTTAATTTCTCCAAATGCCTCTTTTAAGATTGTGATTATAAAATACCAAATTTCATCAAACCTAAGATGCTATTGCTTATACAGACTCATAATTATTCCAAATACCACTGAGAGAAAAAAAAGCTCAAGTCCAAGCTGAAGAGCTTAAAAGGAGACCTTCACATTAAACTGAGACAGTCAGTGTAGTAAACCTTACATACCTGTCACATCTAAGAAGATCACAAGAAAATTTGCATATCTAACCTTGATACTGGGTAAAGAGAATGGAAAAAAACATCTCCCTTATGATTGTAAACTCAGTGGATACTCATGCAGATGTATGGCATTACTTCACAATTCTAAGTGTAGTCCTAAAAAAAAGAGTCTTAAATGAAGAATTGAATCCAAAGTGTTCTCTGGCTGGAAAAAGTCCCTCATGTGATAGGTAGAATCAAAGGCAAATACCATCTGGAAGAACTCAACTTCAATCTATGCCAAAAGCAAATAAAAAACACCATTTTAAGATACCCCTTGATTTCAGGATATTGAAATGTGAAAATGTCTTAGAGCAAATGAGATATATAGTAGACAAGTTTTTGTCATAGAAATCAATGCCTCACCTGGAGGTGCAGGGGGAGGTAGCCTGGGTGGGGGTCCCCGAGGAGGAGGGCCAGGAGGCAGACCTGGAGGTGGACCGGGGGGAGGGCCAGGGGGTCGACCTGGTGGTGGTCCTGGAGGTAAAAGTCGGGGTAAAGGCCCTCGGAGCCCTGGCATTCCAGGTGGTCTCAGGAATGGAGGAGCTCCTAAAAAGAGAAAAGTGATTAGTTAATGTCAAACAAATATATTCGAAGTAGTAACTGTGGTATAAGGTGACTGAGATTTAGTTTAACTTATCACTTTAACCTGAAGTCAGGTTAACTTCAACATTTATTATGGACCATTTCTCTTTATTTCCCAGCACTGACAAAATGCATTCTCAATCACAGCTCTGCTGGGCTGGAAACATATGAGGATGAGACTTCTTAAATGGTTCCAATATAAGCTGAAAATGGAATATAGAGCAGGGTGCTTTAAGGATCCCCTGAAACTCATTAAGATATACAGACAAAGACCACTGAGAATGTCATAAGAAAGGTAATTTTGCTTTGCACCAATCAGAAGAGGATGAACTCAACTGAAGATTTAATTGGCTGACTACAGGATGAAGGACTAAAATCATAATTAGCCAACAAGTTTTACATGTTGTTTCAAATTGTAAATAAACTTTTTAAAACTCTTAAGCCAAAGACTTGATTAATACTGATGACTCTGTCTCTAACTATAATGATTACACTGATATCCAAAAACAAGTTTTACATGTTGTTTCAAATTGTAAATAAACTTTTTAAAACTCTTAAGCCAAAGACTTGATTAATACTGATGACTCTGTCTCTAACTATAATGATTACACTGATATCCAAAAACTCCCAACCAAAGAAGGATACACAACAGTATTTACTGTGCTCTAGTCCTGCTTGCTACCAACTCAGAACTGGGTCAACTTGTCGTATTAAAAAGTAATACTGGGCTTCCTTGGTGGCGCAGTGGTTGAGAGTCCGCCTGCGGATGCAGGGAACATGGGTTCGTGCCTCGGTCCGGGAAGATCCCACATGCCACGGAGCGGCTGGGCCCGTGAGCCATGGCCACTGAGCCTGCACATCCGGAGCCTGTGCTCCGCAACGGGAGAGGCCACAACAGTGAGAGGCCCATGTACCGCAAAAAAAAACCCCCAAAAAACAAAAAAAACCTAATACTAAAGAAACTCCCAGTTACATACTCCAGGTTTCTGCCTAACCCTGAAAAAGGAAGAGCTTTGGAGAAAAAGATGGCTGTCAGAAGTACTATGACTTGCAAACAATGTTGTAGGAATGAGCAAGTTGTGCTTATCCTTTGAGAATCTTGATTTCTTAGGGAATTACACTAGGAGGAAACAAGAAATCATCAACACTAATGATGTATATTTTTTTAAATAACTTCATTTTAACCACATTTAGACTTATTTACTTACAACGTGTAAGTGCTTACCTGGAGGTGGTCCAGGAGGAAGGCCTGTAGGTGGTCCAGGTGGCCGTAAAGGTGGAGCAGGTGGTGGTCCAAGAGGAGGTGGTCCTGGCATAGGAGGTGCTTGTATCTGAGAAGGAGGAACAGACTGTGGAGGAGCCTGCTGCTGTGAAGAAGCAGACGTGCCATCAGATAGAGATTCCTCCTTATGCTGTTTTTGTGACTGCTTTTCTGCTTCAGAATCATCAGAATCTTCATCATCGTCTTCTGAAAATTCCTCTACTTCTCGTCCCTCCTCAGGGATTTCCTGACCTGAAAGAAATTTTAAACCAGGCACATGGAGCTGACTCATTTCTTACAGCCTGTAAAACAGCGATGCCTGAAACACATGCTCAATAAATGTTTTCTTAAAATTAACAATCAAGTCTTCTTCAATACAATACTCAGATAACGCAAGAACAGAATAGTATTCTACGTATCCATGCTAGTGTAGCAGAGTGGAATGAGCCCAAGTTTTAGAACAAGACAGACCTGAACTTAAATGCCAGTCCAACTACTTACTAGTCACGTAACTTTGGGCAGCTGAACCTTGACTTTTGAAAAACAAGGATTATGTCTCCAAACCTTGACTTTTGAAAAACAAGGATTTATTACTTGATTGCTGACATATTAAATAGGAAAATATATGTAAAGCAACCGGCAGGAGGAAATACCAAAAGGTGATTCACTGTTCTTTCCCTGCCTTACCTGCCATTCGAAGCATCATGGCTTGAAGAGGAGTCAGCTCCTTCATGCTCTTCTTCTTCTTCTTCCTTGGTTTCCCAGGCATATCTGCAAACCGCACACTCAGACCTAAAGGGTCAGAGAAGGGAGAGCGGAGTGGATTGGGATCAGCAAAATTCAGTATATGCCTACTGTAAGACAAACGCTATAAAGTACTAGATTTAATTGTTTCCCACTACTTGGCAGAGAGACACAGCCATACTAAAGATAGTAAATCAAATGCCAACTGATGGTAAATATATGCTACAGTGATTTCAAAGTTACAAATTTAAAAAATTTAAAGAATACTATTAACATCTTTATGCCAATAAAATCAAACACCCAGATTAAAATAATAGATGATTTTCTAGAAAAATATAAATTACTTATAATTGGTCAAAGAAGTGATAAGACCAGAATATAAAAAATTAAAATGGTAGTCAAAGATCAAGCCCCTCAAAGGCACCTGGCCCAAATAATTTTATGAGAAAATTCAGCCAAACTTTAAGTTACAGAAATTTACTGTAAAAGGGCACAGGAAAAGATGGAATGCTACCCACAACTTGAAGCTAGCATAACCCTAATACCAAAACTAACCTGCTGGCCAACATAAAATACAAGCAAATTGAATTCAATAAAAGAAAAATACATCATAAACATGCAGCATTGGTCCCAGAAATACAAAATGGTTTAACATTAGAAAAGCCATGAATGTAATTCATTACAATAAACAACTGAAAGAAAAATAATAACACCCCAACAGATACTTACAAAGTATTTATAATAAAAACTCTTAGCAAACTTAGACTAGGAGGAAACTTCTTAACCTGACAAGGGCTCTCCACTAGACACCTAAACATGCTAAACGGTGCAGTATTAGAGCATTCTTATTCTTAGATGGTAAACATTTAGAGGATAGAAGTTCCACGTGGGCAGGGCTTCAGTATTATTTACTCTGCATCCTTAGTGTCTAAAAAAATGCCTTGAATATAGTAGAAACTCAATTATTAGCTGAATGTCAAATTATAGTTAGGATAACCATTTCCAGCACATGTGCACTGATGAATATATATAAGAAAAACTAACTAGTAAAAAAAAAGCAAACAAAAAAAACTAGTTGGCTGAAAAAAAGGAAAATGAGGCAAATGACCGCAGTCTAGAGAAAAAAAGAACTGCTGTGGCTCTAGCAACTTTCTATTGATATTTTAAAGTACTAGGTCCTACCTAAAGTGTCCTCTATCATTTTTCATTACCAGCTCTATCCACCCCTTTAAACTAGCTTTCTGGTTTCCAATAATCATTCTTAAGAAATATCCGGAGAAAAATTTATCATTATTAATACTAATATCAGTAGTATTACTAATATATACTGTGTTGCAGCCTGCAAAAACAATTGCCAAAGAAGCTCCAAGACTACTGAAATGTGACAAACTATACATTTTGTAAGTTTTCTTGATGAATGCCATAGCTTCTTTCTAAAAGTATATGTAACTCAGTCTGAATTTATCATAATCAAACAAACACATAACACACATTATAAGTATGACATGTTTCCATTAAATCATGACTCCACTCACAGGTGTACCTTTATGTTAACTATGGTCTCGTTCATGTAAGATACCACAAGCACAGAAAATTTAAAGGGCTTTGAATGTAGATATTTAAACAGACTCATTAAAAACAACCATGTGGTTTTCTTGATACAATTATGTGGTTATTCTCTCTTTCCTATACATACCCATGACAGGACATCTTTATGCTGTTGAATGGCTAAGAATAGCTATCTTTTTCCCCAAAAGTGGACTTTACCACATAGGCTTTTTTATTACATATACTGCTTAGATTTTTTTCCCCCTCATAATTATCCATCTAGTACTTACTATGTGTCAACAACTTTGAGATTTTAGAAATATAAAGCATTGATCCTTCCTTTCAAGGACCTCACAATTACCTTCACAGATCCATTAATAAATCAGGACCTTCAGCTTGTGTGCTTCTTATTGATCAATATCATGGAATTTTCACCTGCACATACCTGACTTCTTTTCTTCATTGTTTTCTCTCTCATTATCATCACGGTGCACAAATTCGTCCCCTTCACTTTCTCCATCTGATCTGTCAGTGTCGCTGTCATCCGTACTGTCATCATGCTTATCTTGATCCATGTCTTCAGGATAGCCATCATCTTCACTGGTGCTGGAAACATCATCATCATGACCCCGTTGAGCTGAAAAGGGAGGAGGAAGCCGGGAACAAGTTATATATGTGGATCCTCCACTACATGGTACCCCCAAATACAGAAAATCAGGCTATTTAACTCAAAATAATTTGTTTTAAAAATTTCCATGTATGATCTCAGCTATTCATATAGTCTGACAATATTTTCACTTGACAATCGTTTTAAATTCTTTTTGATAATGTAAGATTTTTTTTTAAAAGGTTCAAATTTGAAAACAAATTCTACTAAGGTTATATACAGACATGCACATACACAATCATTGTGACTGTATACAATGATGCTCTCATCTGAAAATGATAAAGCTAAAAGGGAAACAGGTATCCAAGTTATCCAAGTCTTAAGGAATTGATGGTAAGAGAGTGACATCTTCAAGAAGTCTAATTTAAAACACAACAAACATTTCCATACTTCCTTATGCATGCTGCTTTTACTTGGGTAGATTCTATGATTCATCCATCTGTTGGTATGTACATGCTATCCTCATTTATTTCCCAAGCTCTGAGGGTGGTGAACAAGATGGTTAAACAGCCAACGTAAAAAATGATAGTGGAAAGGTTCTAAGAGCAAAAGGAACTCCTTACCAAGTTCGGGACTATATAACATGTCTTCATCTCGCCTACGAGGGGGAAGATCTAGGGCAAAGCCCACTTTACGGCCATACATTTGCAAGACTTGAGGAGGAGGTGGACCAGGGGGAGGACCAGGAGGCTTCCTGCCAGGGGGCAAACGTGGAACACCATGTCCAAGAAGAGGAAGTATAGAAACTGCCCGAGTTGGAGGTCTGTAAAGAAAATGTACAGTAATCACATTAATGAGGTATCTACTTCCTCTTCTGAACAATTTTCAAAGGATTTCTCATTTCATATCTAATCAAATGAGGAACTGCTTACATCCCCACTGTCCTTTATTTCCCACTGCATTAATTTTGGCACAGGACAGTCAAGAGATGCTTCTACTACACGCCATTTGACTCTGTTACCACTTCCTTACCCATAGGCTGAGGTCTTCTTAAGGATGGAGGGCGGCTGGGCGCCAGGAAGTGGAATGTCCTGGATCAGGATGTTGGAAGGAGCATGCGGCATATCTGGCAAAGGAATGCTCTCCACCTCCACATGCTGCGCATTCTGAAACAGGGAGAATCTTTCAATAGATAAGAGTAATCCCCAAACTCAACACTAAAAATTCAACATCAGCTGTTTCAGAACCTGGATTTGCTTTCCACCTAACACAAATATCATGAAAAACAAGAATACAAAGCTGCAAGTCAACATTTCTAAAGACTGCCAATCAATTGAAACTTCGGAATAATATATATTCAGTGGTAGAGTGTGGGCTCTAAAATTAGTCTGCCTTTGCTGAATTTCTGTCACATGAGCTATATGACTTAAGCAAGTTACCTTAGCCTCCTTATCTGTAAAATGGGACCCATACTACCTACTTTACCAAAATTATACCATTTGTTTTTTTTTTTACATTTTTATTTTGAGGCAAAATTTAAAATGAAATGTACAAATCCAATGAGTTTTGACAAATGCTATATACCTCATACTCCCTCCCAATCAATCCCTAACACTGTCTCAAGGCAACCACTGATACAAAATCTTTCCTCCATAAATTAATTTTGCCTGGTGTTCATACAAATGGAATAACCATGAAGAAAGGAAAGCATGTTTCTGAGATTTATCCATTAAAAAAATTGGTTTAAATCTCATGTTGTTTTGAGTATCAGTTGATCATTCCTTTTTATCATTGAGTAGTATTCAATTTTATGAATAGATAACAGCATATCCATTATCTTCTCAATGGACAGCTGGGCTGTTTCCACTCTTCAGCTATTACTGTATTAGCAGGTAGATCAATTTCTCTTGTATAAATACACAGATTTATATTTGCTGGCTAATGGGGTAGGTGTATGTTTAGTTGACAAGAAACTGCCAAGAGGAGGTGGTTCAACACGATCAGGTCTCCCATGAACAACTTTAAGTGCAGATCTAAACATAAAGTTTTATTTAGCTCTGAAGAAACTTGATTACCTTGACAGCATCAAAATATTGGCTAAGTTGAGCCCTCTTCTGTTCATATTCTACTTCTAGCTTTCTCAATTCTTTGTAAATATCTGGATTCTCTTTCTCATAGAGTCGTAAAATACGTTCAAAGGTTTCACGTAGCTTTTTACGCTTGTCTTTCAGCACTTTCTCATTTAACTGTGGCTGTTGCACTGGGTTAAACTCTGAGAGAAAAGAGCAGATTATGAAATTAAATACAAAAAAGTCACTTTGTCTAGGTATCAATAGGCTATATCATTTAATAAAAATCTCCTTATATGTTAAAACTTTCCAAAAGGATCCAGACACCAGATATATTCTTGTCAAAAGAAATGCACTATTTATTAAAATTCCACCCCTTTAAGAAGGTCATTAATTTTACTTTCTTTTCTAAGAAATGTCACCTAATTGACTTTATCATCATTGTAATAAAAATCAATTTTCACTCCTCTATGCTAACAACCTGATATAGTGAAGCTTCAGTCAGACAAACCTGGGTTTACATGCTACACTGGCTCTGTCATTTAATTCTGAGATCTCTGGCATTTTACTTGAATTCTCTGATCTTCAGCTTCTTCATCTGGAAAATGGAGACATCAACTACTTCACAATCAAGCTCTGATGATCAAATGAGAACACAAATAAAATATCCAGTGGTGTCTGGCTTACCACTCAACTACTACTTTTATATGGGTTAGTGTTCCTTGTCTAGCTACAATATAAGCCTTTCTCTCCCATGTGTTCAACATGGGGCTTAATTTTAGGTCCCCAAAAGGGACCAAGAGAGATTAGCACAGGACTCCCAGGCCTGCCTAGTCAACCAAACCTGCCTCCCTCCATCCCCCTTGCCAGTAACTGACTCAGAGATTAATCGGCATACGATCCAAATTGGGACCAGGTCCTCCTCTGAGATTTTAAATATGGGAGAGAGATGCTCTCATAAGCAGGAATGAAATAAAACTAGAGCGGTCTATGGCCTCATCTCTCAACCACCACTAATTCCACACACATATTCCACCTTCTATACCAAGAAATTCACTAGCAGTATGCTGACAGAGAGTGGTCAGACAGATGGACAGTCTTGCTAATGATATCCAGGTTTTTGAGACAAGCTTCCCTCCAGGATTTCCCAATTATGGGAGTCAAGGTATACTTTTTTCTGCTTAGTTTGTATTGAGTTTTATAAATTGTAATTAGAGCTCTGATGAATAGTGTTCCTCCCTTTTTCTTAAAAGAATCACAAGCTTAATTGTCGTCTTTCTTAAATCCTATTAACTATTAACCTTGATGACTTATTCAAAACCAGAAGTATGGCCTCAAACCACACTATTCCTAGTGTGATTAATGAAAGTGCTAAATGCTTGACTTTAAAATCCCAGCTCTGTCACTTCTTGACAGTATAACCTTGAGAAAGGTACATAACGTCTCTGTGCCTGAGTTTCCTCATCTGTAAAATAGGGGCAGTACATCTACCCAAAACAGTTGTCACGAAGATTAAATGAAAACGTGGGGAAAAAACCTGGTATGTAGCAAGGTAAGAGCTCAATAAACCTCAGTTATTACTATACAATTTGGGGTCATTCAATAGGTAATATCCTGACATCCTAGGGCTAGGAATTGTCCCTACCAATATTTAGAACAGGCAACAAGTGGAATCAGTTATAGCTGAACTGGGAAAGACGCGAGATGATACAGCCTGACCCAGAACTCTTGCCCAGGCTGGCTGCAGAAAGCTTGTAATACATTACATTATTGTAATATAATACACATTGTAATACATATACATTACATTATTATTTCAGAAAGCTTGTAATACCATAACCCCACGTAACTGGATTTTTTTGAACCTCATTTAATGCATCATTGAGAAGTTCCACTGTATCTCTTTTACTCACTATCTCTGTTTTTTAGGCAATCCACCAAACTTGTTTGGAAACCTTTGTAAACAAAACTTGTAAAGATCACTTTAACATGCAATTTAAAAAAAAAATGGCAGGGGGCAGAAGACAGAATTGGCAAAAATCTGACAGCTGAAAAGCATGGAGTTAGCTAGACTATTTTATTTTTGGATGTTTGAAAGCTACTAAAAAAAGGAAAATGAAAAACTCCATGTTCTAAAGTTAAGAGAATGGGCTGAATATGGAATCCATTTTGTGACTCATCCTCTGTATTAATTATAACTACCTAAAGCCACTTTGCACCATTCTGACTCCTACTTTTACTTAATTGTATAATGTTCTGTTAAAAATACTTTCTAGGATATTTTCCCTCACATACGTGCAAGTATAAAGTATATAAATAAGGGAAGTAAAGGTTAATTAAATATGTTATAGGATCTTTGGAACTTGGTAAAACTGCATTCTATTTTGAAGAGGTTTTGGTTAAACTAAAGAAACTTTTTTGTGAGTTAGGATAAAACTTCCAATGGCAGCATCACAGATGATTCTCAAGCAACTCAGATACAAGAAAAGACAACATGCAATTATTTCATGTGATTCCAGTTATGACAAAGCAGTGATATTGAAGATGCACATGATGAGACTGGATAAAATTATTCTGTAAAGTGTGAAAAAGGAAGAAATCCTAATATGATAGTTTTTAAAATTTGATTTTAAGTATTTGATTTCTTCTATATCCTTACTAAGTGGTCAATTATCTTTGCATCTTCTCATTGGAAAAGATGGGAAATTGCCTTATATTCACAGTGGCCCAATATTTAGATTTACATGGTAGTTGCCAATGTTGAAATACAAAACAAAAAAAACCCCAAGGTGATTTCAAAATCCATACTTTGTATTCTCTTTCAAAAATGAGCGAGCCAAACCGGGCTTTTGTTAACTTATAAAAAACAATTAGCTAAAGCTAAATAATGGCTTCCCTCTTATTCTAGATGAGCTTACCAGTTTGTAACAGCCCCTCACCCCATTGTTCTTCTAACACTAAAACTAAATCTAAGCATCACATGCCATAAGCTTTTCTATATTTCTTGTGTCTGTGCTGTTTCACTTATTACCTGCCTGCCTCTATGTATCAGACTATTATCCCTGTTGTAAAATCCAGACTTTTATAAATTCTTACCCATTTCATCCAATTTTTCCATGTCCCGGATAATTTGTTTGGGATCCTTCATCTTTAAAACTGCAGCTCGTACCATCATGCGCTGTTTTTTGTTCTTAGAAAAATGAAAAAAGGGCAGAATTTAAAGAAGCGGAACACTCCTGAGTTTTCGTTTCAATTTGTTTCAACAATCCATATAAACTGAACTTGAACTTCTCCTTGGTTTCTGATCACTTGTTTCAACCACCAGAAACAGAGTTATATAATTAATTTCTTACTCCCCAAAATGTTTCAAGTTCAGACAAAAAGATAAATGTTATTTATTAGAAGTGTTTTCTTAGGCAAGTATTTCTTTTTAAACTTGTGAGACTTTTAGCAGTTACTTAAGTATTTTAAGGGTTTTTTTTTCTTAAAACAAAGTTTGCAGCTAAATTCTAAAATTATACATTACAGAAAAATTTCGCAGAAATTTAATGTCAGCAATGAAACAGAATAAACAGTTGAAAACTATTAAAAAACTAGGTTCTCTCAATGTGTTAAGGTATGATACTAAAAAGTAAACCCTTTCTTATTCTGGGGAAGCTTTTTGCCACAAACTCAACAACTACATAATCAAGAAACTGGATGTACAAAGCTATTTATCATCACATTTACTTCCATTCACTAACTCAGTGGCTTCTAACAAAGCAGTATGTTATAATAAATAGCAAAGGAGAATTATTTTTTAAAGTATTTATTTAAGTCACTGGGAAGGGTAATCAAATAAACCATGTTACAGTAACCCATCATGAGCTCATCTACAAAATTATTTCAGTTCAGTTTCTAAGTATAGCATTTTGGCTTAGTAAATCTTATGGTTTGTTATGAGAAGCATAAAATATCTTTTCTGGCAAATAACTGGAAATGTTTTCTAAATCCACTCATCTCAAATAACAAGATGTGCCAAACTACATTTATATCTAATAGGATGCTTCTGAAATCGTACCTTCTTTAATTCTCTCTTCCGAGCTTCTTTTCCTTAAGAGAGGGAGAGAGAAAGAATATAAAACTTTAAAATCCTGAACATTAGCATTTTCTCCAATTTAATACAGATTACTGTCGGAGGTTGCCCCGTGCACTGTAGGATATTTAGCAGCATTCTTGCCTCTACCCACTAGATGCCAATAGCACCCTTCCAATTATGTCAACCAAAAATGTCTCAAGACATTTTTAAGTCCCTTAAAAAATAACTATGAATCTGAAAAGATGTCATAAAATACTAAATAAGAACTTGCAAAACAATTTGTTTAAAATTCCAAATACAAAGAGAATTGCCAATTCTACTTTGCAAGTCAATCAAATTAGAAACACGGGTACTAATTTTTTTTCATGCTTAAAAGTTTTAATCATGTGCCCACTAGAACACTAGATAACTTTATACAACTGACACCTCCTAACACTGCTGATCTTATAATTAAGAAATAATAAAATACACTCCCTAAAGCTTACAATTTTTACCACCCCTCTTCTTCATCATTCCACATTAATGGACACTTACTGGCTTGGTCTGTGGGGTTCATAAATTTTCCACTCTTGGTGGATGATGTAGATCTCCGTCCCATGTTGACAACTGGTGTGGTTTACTTGCTTGTTTAAAAAACAAAACAAAAACAAAACCTAAAAACCTGCAAATACAAAAAAATAGCTTATTTTTCCTAGATTTACAAAATTTCTTCCTTTTTATATTTATAAAATTTTCTTCCTACCAATCTCTGAAAAGAAACTGATTATTAAGACCTTGTTCTTTCCCTAGTTTTGACTTTAGTGTGCAGGAAAGACAGCCTCAACTTCTCTAACCACAAAAAATTAGATTCCTATTATTATTTATAACTGTAATGGGTCTGAAGACCACTATGAATATCATTAAGTCGTCAATTAACTTTCTTTTCTGGATCACAGCACTGACTCGTCAATTGAAAAAAATCAATCAAAAAATGCCTCGACAATATGACATAAACCGTGTAGATAAGAAGCCATTAGTTCTTTTCCTATATCCTCCCTTTATTTACATGTAGGGTGAAAAAGGAATAAAAAGGGAACAGGGTAATGATCTGGGCTCAACGACAAATAGCTCAGCCTTGCCTCTCTCCATGGTTTCTTGGCATGTATTCCCATCATCTCTAAGACAGTAAAAACTCATTAATTTAAGCCTATTTAATTCAGATTTAGTTCTAATTCAGATGTAATTCCTGACTCTCAAGCAGAAGCTTAAACCATAACTAAAAACACAAATATTCAAAATAAAGTATTGATATTATATGAGAGATCTTCTAAAAACATTAAGATATTTTATTAATAATGCCTACTTGACTCCTGATTTGTATTTTTTAAGGTAACCGAAAGGGATAACTGTGTTTGAGGGAACCTATTTTATAAATCAACATTTTAATTAACCGAAACACTATTATATCCCTTCTTCCTGTTATTCCAAATGAATGAGGTTTAGCTTTTTGATACTTGCTCTTTCCAATAATAAAGGGTGATAGCTTTCCTTCCTTTTGAAAGCAGACACTTTTCAAGGGTGGGAAAGGTTAAGATCATGAGGTAGATTTTTTAGCAGACCACAGAATTACACCTTCCCTTTATGAAGATTCTGTCAGGCAAGTTTATTGGTTAATGCGGCTTTCAGCAACTGTTCAACTGCCTTGCTTTCTGCTAAAAGCTTCCAAGCTGTTCCAGTGGCAACTGATTTGCCCTGTCAAGGGTTTCCTTCTCAGAAAAACCGGGAGTGAGGGAGAAGGAAGCGGAAACAAGCAAAATTAGCAGAAATAGGAGCTCTTACATCTTTGATGGCCTGGATCTCTTCTGCCTCCCTCTTTCAATTACCCTCAGGCCCGTGTTTTTAACCCTCCTCTCCCACACCTGAAACCTAGAATAGACACGAAGTACAGAAAATTTTTACAGAAGACACTGGTGTCTTAGTCTGCACGCACAGACTACTTTTCTATCTCAAAGCAGAGGCGATAGGGAAATCGGGTCACGGGGCTAGGGGAACTCTCAACAGTCAAAGAGGCTACAAAGGGACGGAGCCCAGATCCACCATAGGAGCCAACAGCATTAGCAACTGCCAAAACCACAGCGACAGTTGACCCTGCCTCGAGGTGCAGGACATCAAGCCTAAGGCAACCAACCGGGCAACGTCAGGAGGCGGCGCTGACCGACCCGGGCGAAGTCAGCCGCTTGACCGCTGGACGCCGCGCCGCCCCAGGGGATTCCCTAGTCCGCGATCGCGGAGACCCCAAATGCTGAGAGGAACAGCAGGGCGGAAGGGCCTGGTGTCCCCGAGGCAACCGCGCGGGCCCCGGGAAGAGGCGGGAAAGATGAAGAAACGGAGCGGAACGATCCCGCACACTCACACTTCTGCTGGGCTCCTGGGACTGTGAGAAGCGGGGAGGGGACGATTCTCGGCCTCTTTGACTTCGTAGGGCTCTTCACCTCTGACTCTCAGTCAGCCCCCCAGCCCCCGCCATCTTGAAACCTCGCGCCCCTCCGCCATCCTTACGTCACTTCCTGTCCCTATGGGCCGAAGATCTCAGCGTTTCTTCGCCCTGGAACCATAGAGAGGAACCAAGAACTCTAGGACCAGAGTCTCTTCCGCTACAATACAGTACCGAATTGGTTGGTTATAAACTAAAAGCCCGCCTTCACTACGCAGTACAAGAACTTCATGTTGATTGACACTTGCCTAGCCCAATAAGAATATGAAAATGAAGAGGGAGGGGATATATGATTGGCTGATGGGACCACTGTCCTACCTCGCCGCAGGCATTCTGACCTAATTTCCGGGAGCTCCATTTATTGAGACGCCAGAGGCCTGCGGATAACTGATAGCGAGGTGTTTAGCGCTATGTCTGTCACCTTGAATTGTGTTTTGTAGGTTTTTTGTTTCCTTCGTGACGTAAGCGCGTGCGGTCTTTCGGGAGTGTCCGTTTGAAAACGAATCCCCGAATGATGCACTTCGCTAGCGTGCCGTGCGCCTGGAAGTTCAGTAGTTGTTTTTACACAAAGAATATTTGTAGACCTAAGCAATTCAGTGCCCGTGTTAGTAAGCCCAGAGTGCTAATCTACAGGATTAGTGTTTTTTTTTTTTTTTTGCGGTACGCGGGCCTCTCACTGTTGTGGCCTCTCCCGTTGCGGAGCACAGGCTCCGGACGCGCAGGCTCAGCGGCCATGGCTCACAGGCCCAGCCGCTGTGCAGCATGTGGGATCTTCCCAGACCGGGGCACGAACACATGTCCCCTGCATCGGCAGGCGGACTCTCAACCACTGCGCCACCAGGGGAGCCCAGGATTAGTGTTTTTGAAGAGGAAATATGGGGATATATGAACAGTCAGTTTTAAATTTACGAGTGTGGAGATTGGTTTATATTGGCTCTTTCTCGTCTTTTCACCCACCAAAAACCCTTTATGATGTCACCATACCAAGGGGATTATTCCCTTAGCTCTAATCTTCGTCCTTTTCTTATCTTTTATCTGCTCTTCAAGACTCCTCCCATATCTTTCCCCCCTAAAGGTGAGTTTAAACATTAAAAAAATATCAGTCCTATCACTTATAGGAAAATGTTAGATATAGGCCAATTTTTACTATCAGTTATAAATATTCCAAAATCTTGACGGAGATATGTATTAATTTTTAGAAAATATTTAAATGTGGGCTTAACTGATAAGATTGATCCCTTACCTGAACTAACCTTTGTTTGAGAAAATTCTTGATTAGGTTTTAGACTGAATTCTGAGTCCACAAGAGCAGTAACAAGATATAAGTTTATGAATCAGGTAATAAATACAAAATAAAATTTAATTTTGAAGATGAACTAAATTGTGACATTTTGCAACTAATTTATAAAAGCAATGACAAGGTAAAGAAAAGACTACATTTGAAAAACTACAGTATTTCATGTAGCTTTTTAAGTTTTAAGATATGTCAAGCTTTTAAAATTTAAAGACATTTCTTGTACTTGGATGCAAGAATCAACTGTAACGAACATTTTTGCATGAATGACTTTTTTTTTTTTTACATGTTTATTGGAGTATAACTGCTTTACAATGGTGTGTTAGTTTCTGCTTTACAACAAAGTGAATCAGTTATACATATACATATGTTCCCATATCTCCTCCCTCTTGCGTCTCCCTCCCTCCC